GATAAACACAAGAGTCATTACTACACATGGCACCTCTAAAAACCAGCTAGTGGCATTTGTGTCAGTCCGGTTGAAGGAGAGAGGTGTGGTGCCTCCTCTCAAAATAAAATAATTACTGTAATATGGTGGCTAAATTGATCTTTTCCTGCTCTATAGTGTTCACTACCAATCCTTTTCCTGTGCTGTATTTTTTCCACTACAGTTTCTCAATATTGCTAAGACAATCTTGCACAGTCAGATTGCATTCTAACTGATGATCTATTGTATTTTCATGATACTTGTGTGTGTGCATCCGTCTGTCTGTGTTTTTGTTTATTTTTGTCACTGTGTATACTTCTTTCTTTCAACACACCGGCCATATCCCACCGAGGCATGGTGGCCCAAAAGGAAAACCAAAAGTTTCTCCTTTCACATTTAGTAATATATACAGGAGAAGAGGTTACTAGTCCCTTGCTCTTGGCATTTTAGTCGCCTCTTACGACACGCATGGCTTACGGAGGAAGAATTCTGTTCCACTTCCCCATGGAGATAAGAGGAAATAAACAAGAACAAGAACTAGAAAGAAAACAGCAGAAAACTCAGAGGGGTAATACAGGACCACGTACAAGTCATCGTGCAAAACAATGAAATCAAAGAAACACGTTTGTTAGGAAAACCAGGAAATAAACACAGTATAATGATCAGACTTCATTCATACGATAAAAGAAAGGACCTAATTAAATCAGCAATTACAATGAAAAATGGAGTGTACATAAATGAGTGTCTAACAAGAAAACATCAAAACCTTCTGTTCAGGCTGAGAAAACTCAAACAGGAAAACAAAATACATCAGTGTTTCACGCGAGATGGGAAAATACTAGTAAGGAAAACATCAACAGACAACAATATACTATCTCAACGAACATGATTTTCTACCTTCCTTAGAAAAGCTGTCATTTCTGTAACAGATTTGATAAGTGCCCTTAATACATATATACGTGTGGTGCATATAGTGTACCTTACTATTATATTGTGCATTATTATTTTTATTATTTTTTTCATCACAAGCTAATGCTAACTACCTCCAATACTTTTTTACTTCTTTCTTACTGCTATTAATTGCTCATAATTTTATGTTACAAGTCAAATCTTACTCCAAATTAATATTATTCATTGTTCTTACCTGTCCTTTTAAATTTTTTGTTTATCACTACTTTTTTTTTTTAGTCACTTTTTATTGTGTGTGCAATTAGTGTATATTCCAATTACTTTTTTGCAAGTACCAAAACTATCTTTTGCTAGCTAGTACCAACTACCTCATTTTTTTTTTACTTTTTATTGTGCAATAAACTGCTCAACTTATTTAATATTACAAATCAGATCTTACTCCTAAACCAATATTATCTCATAGTGACTATCTGTCCATTTAACTTGTTTACCATTACTTAATTGTAGTCCCTTTTTTATATTTTTTTTTCCTTTATTTTAGTTTTTATATAACTACCTTAGTTCATATATTCACAATTGTTAAAATAATCAAGGTGCTATTCTCAGGTGCTAAAGTTAATAAGTTCACTATTTTGCCATTATACTCCAAAGCTCATTTATTTGATTACCACTTTATTGTTCACCACAACTTATATTAGTCCCTTTTATATTATAATTTTATATTATAATTCTAACTTTAAAGAATTACCTTTAAAGTACTACCTACTATCATATTCCCAAGCTCCATTATTTGATCATCACTTTATTTGTTCACCACAAATTATTTTAGTCCCTTTTATATTGTCTCCTTTATTTTAGCTTTAAAAACTACCTTAGCTCATTATTTTTACATTTGTTAAATAATTCAGGTGCTTTTTTTTTTTTTTTTTTTTTTTTTTTTTTTTAGCTTTAGAATATTTACTTTATTTTTTACTTAATTCTAACTATAGATTCACTACAAATCTTATGATTACAAGCATTGATCCTGATACCAACCTCTTATTTAATGACTTAAATGATTCAAACAGTTACTGTAATTACTACACAGCAGAACAATCAAAGGCACTTCTCAGAGCCAACAACAATATAACTATCTTTAACTACAATATCAGATCTTTAAGCAAGCATTATGATGACCTCCTAGCATTACTAAATTCCTTGCATGCCAATATGTCCATCATTACACTAACTGAAACCTGGCTAAAGCCTGATACTACAGATGTCTATGCCATTCCTGGTTACACAGCCATACACAACTGTAGGCCAGACCAACAAGGGGGTGGCACTGCTATTTACTACTCAGACCAACTAGAATGTATCACTAATACTTGCACAAGGGATGAACATGGGGAATATATAATAGCTAAATTCAAATCCAAATACCTACAAAAACCCCTCACAGTGATAAACATCTACAGAGTTCCACAATCAAACATTAGCCAATTTAGTCAAAACCTAGGAAGTATGATAACTGATGCACGCATGAACAAAGATCACTTACTACTCTCAGGTGACTTCAATATAAATCTCCTGCAAGACCAGGACCCACACGTTACTGAATTTACAAACACAATGAGTAACTGCATGTTGCTACCAACAGTAACAAAACCTACAAGAGTTACAGAGACTAGTGTTTCCCTACTTGACCACATCTGGACCAACACCATATCCCCTTTAAAATCAGGCATAATTACTGATAATACCACAGACCACTACCCTACTTTCCTCATAACAACTCTTGGTAAAATACCCCAAGACACTACTAAAGTCACCTTCAGACTTCACAATGAGGCAGCCATTAATAACTCAATGATTTCTTCTCCACTATAGGTCAAAACCTTGCCAATAAAATCCCAAGCTCAGATACCCCACCAAATGACTACCTCACTGGCAACTACCCGAACACACTGTTTCTAGCTCCGACTAACCCATACGAAGTCTCCCTTATTATCAACGCACTGAAAAACAAGGCAGGAGATTTAAATACCTTACCACCCTTTATATACAAAAAAGAGTCACAAGTACTATCACCAATCATTGCAACACTCTTTAACAAATCCATTGAATCCTCCACCTTCCCTGCAGTTCTCAAAATAGCAAGGGTCACCCCGATCCATAAAGGAGACCAAACAGAGTTGAATAACTATAGGCCAATATCCAATTTACAACCCTCTCTCAAAAATCTTCGAAAAATTAATCATAAACGAATTCTACTCCCACCTCATCTCCCAAAACATTTCAAACCCCCGCCAATTTGGATTCAGGCCTAATAAAATTACTAATGAAAGCTATTATACACATGCCTAGAACATTATACACTGCAATTTGAGAAAAAAGAAGTCCCACTGGGGATCTCAATGACTTACGTAAAGTTTTTGATACAGTTGACCATGACTTAGCACGTCAAAATTGTCACACTTGGTATTAGAGGGCACTCCCTCAACTACCTCAAGTCTTACCTCAGCAACAAAGCCAATATGTGTACGCAAATGGACAAGCTCTTCCGCCACAACCAATTACAGTTGGTGTCCCACAGGAAGTGTCCTTGGCCCTTCTCTTTTCCTATCATAAATGACCTACTAATGCTTCGCAATACTCAAACCCCACTTTTGCAGATGACATACATCGTTTTTCTAACCCGAGCCCAGTCACGCTAGCCAATACTGTAAACACCGAATTTCAGAAAATATCCACCTGATGAGGACTAACAAACTTTCACTAAACATTGACAAACCTACTTCATTCAGTTTGGTAACAGAGCTACAGATGTACCTTTAACTAACGATAAACGGATACCTATCACAAAGCTAACAGAGGGAAAATTCTTAGGAATCCACCTCGATAATAGACTCAAATTTCATACACATATACAACAAATTTCTAAGAAAATTTCCAAGACTGTAGGCATACTATCGAAGATACGGTACTATGTTCCACAGTCAGCCCTCCTGGCCCTTTATCACTCTCTTATTTACCCCTATCTCACCTATGGAATTTGTGCATGGGGCTCAACAACAATTAACCATCTCAGACCACTAATTACCCAACAAAAGGCTGCAGTTAGAATGATAACAAATTCTCACTACAGGCAACACACTCCACCAATATTCAAAACACTCAACCTGCTCACCATACAAAACATCCATACTTATTATTGCACCTATTACATACATAGAACACTTAACTCTGATATTGACCCTCCCCTCAAACATCTCCTTGCCAACCTCAACAGAACACATGACCATAACACAAGGCACAGATCACTCTTTGATGTTCCTCGTGTCCATCTCACGCTATGCAAAAACTCAATGCACATAAAAGGCCCTAAAATCTGGAATTCATTACCTGTAAATATAAAAGAAACACTACCTGTTTATAAATTCAAGTCTCTTCTCAAAGTTCACTTACTCACTCAAAACCAAATAAATACTGAATAACTGAACCTTATAAATTGTATATCCAAAATGTTACTCACAATTATATCACATAAATGTTAAACCTAGGACCCAATCTAACTTTGTTATTTTTTTAAATACACTACCTAACAGAATACTCCATTCTACTGAATGAACAGCAATGCATGCAACCATATGACCTGTCTTTGTAATACTCATTTGTGCTGTATAGTTATCTGTTTACAATAATGTCTTATCACTGATTTCATCATTGCTTAGTTAATCTTAAGTTAATTTTAAGCCAGCCTGTAATGCTATGCATATAAGTGGCTTTGGCATGCTGCTCTTACCTGTATTTTTTTGTACCTCTGTATGTATGCTAAAAATTTCTAAATAAATAAATAAATAAATATATATATGCTTGTACATGTATGTGTAGTGTGATCTAAGTGTAAGTAGAAGTAGCAAGACATACCTGAAATCTTGCATGTTTATGAGACAGACAAAAGACACCAGCAATCCTACCATCATGTAAAACAATTACAGGCTTTCGTTTTACACTCACTTGGCAGGACGGTAGTACCTCCCTAGGCGGTTGTTGTCTACCAACCTACTACCTAGCACTGTGTATACTATTTATATATTTATTTGTATTTTTAGTGTGTGATATATGCAGCAAAACCTTCCAGCAACTCCGACGCCTCAAGGTACACCGGCTGACTCATGACAAGAATGTCCAAGTGGCTTTCTTCTGCCCCTATGTAGCTTGTGATAAGTAAGACTTTTACTTTTAATATTTTTTGGTGGTAAAGGTTAATGTCTCTGTAAAGGTGTCATTTATTAGCCAGAATGCTATCTATACTGTATGGGTTAGGCACTTTTTAACAGTCCTCAATTAGAAAACCCTTAAGTAGCAAACTTTCTGAATAATATGTACAATTGTCTACTAATACCCTCTATAATCAAGCCTACAACAATAACTGAGACTATTGCAACATCACTTCTTGGATATTGGGCACTTATAAGTACACTAAATCAAAAGAAATAGTCCTAACTAAAGTTAATAAACAGTCCCTTTGATAACTTGAAGACAGCAGCTAAAATAAATTTTTTTTTTGACTGTTGGAACAAATCTAGCCAGCAAAATCACAATCATCTCTGCCCGTGTTAGAGATTACCTAACTGATAACCATCCAAGCTTGCTGTATCTATCCCCAACTACTCCAACCAAGATTACCTCTGTAATTATGTCACTGGAAAACAAAGCCAGAAACAAAGCACATATTTTTTTTTTTAACGCTGGCCGTCCCTCACCGAGGTAGGGTGACCCAAAAATGAAAGGCTTTCACCATCATTCACACTATACTGCCTTTGCAGAGGCACACAGATATAACAGTTTAGATGTCACTCTAAACAGCAAATATCCCAAACCCCTGCTTTAAAGTGCAGGCATTGTACTTGCCACCTCCAGGACTTAAGCCCGGCTAACTGGTTTCCCTGAATTCCTTTAAAAAATATTACCTTGCTCACACCCCAACAGCTCATCAAGTCCCAAAAACAATTCAGCTTCACTCACTCATATCTAACACACTCACACATTCCATATACATATACATACCACACATATACCACCACTAATATACAAGAAAGTTGCTCATGTGTTTCCCCCAATTATTACAACTTTGTTCAACAAATCAATTGAAGCCAAAAATTTTCCCTAACATATTTAAACTAGTAAGAGTTACACAATCTACAAAATGGGTGACTCATCAGAAGTCAATAATTACAAATTAATTTCAAACTTGCTACTACTGTATAAAATCTTTGAAAAAAATATATGTAAACAACTATGTGAGTTCATAACAAACCATAATATCCTTATGTCATGATCAGTTTGGCTTCATGCTTGGCCAATGTACTGATGATGCAGTAATAAAAATGCTTGGCACAGTTTATTCTTCTCTGGGAAAAAAGTTAATATTGAATGGACTATTTATCAGCCTAAAAAAAAAAAAGCCTTGGAAATACAGTGGAACCCCGGTTTTCGAATTTAATCCGTTCCAGAAGGTTTAGCTGGAGTTTACCTGGAGAGGGTTTCAGGAGCCAACGCCCCCGTGGCCCGGTCTGAGACCAGGCCTCATGGTGATCTGATCAACCAGACTGTTACCACTGGCCACACACAAGTTGACATATGAACCACAGCCCGATTGGTCAGGTACTGACTTTAGGTGCCTGTCCACTGCCTTCTTGAAGACAGCTAGGGGTCTGTTGGTAATCCCCCTTATGTATGCTGGGATGCAATTGAACAGTCCTGGGCCCAGGACACTTATTGTGTTGTCTCTGTGTACCCATGGCGTCCCTGCTTTTCATCAGGGGAATGTTGCATCTCCTGCCGTGTTGTTTGCTTTCATATGGAGTGATTTTCGTGTGCAGGTTTGGTACCAATCCCTCCAGGACCTTCCAAGTGTTTATTATCATGTATCTCTCTCGCCTGCATTCGAGGGAATGCAGATCAAGGACTTTCAACCATTCCCAGTAGTTTAGGTGCCTTATCATACTTGTGTGTGCTGTGAAAGTTCTTTGTACACACTCCAGGTCTGCAATGTCACCAGCCTTGAAGGGAGCCATTAGTGTACAGCAGTATTCCAGCCTAGAGAGCACAAGCGATTTGAAAAGAATCATCATGGGCTTGGCGTCCCTAGTTTTCAAGGTTCTCATTATCCATCCTATCATTTTCCTAGCAGATGAGGTAGATACATTGTTGTGGTCTTTGAAGGCGAGATCCTCTGACATTATCACTCCCAGGTCCTTCACATTACTTTTCTGCTCTGTTGTATGGTTAGAATATACCCTGACACATTTTTAATTTCTTCAGGTTTCCCATATCTGAGTAGTTGAAATTTCTCCTCGTTGAACCTCATATTGTTTTGAGTGGCCCATTCGAAGATTTGGTTGATGTCTGCTTGGAGTCTCGCAGTGTCTTCGATGGAGGTCACTGCCATAGTAATCCGGGTGTCATCTGCGAAGGAAGACATGGAGCTATGGCTTACATTTCTGTCTGTGTCGGAAATGAGGATGAGGAATAGAATGGGAGCGGGTACTGTGCCTTGTGGAACAGAGCTTTTTACTGTGGCTGCCTGGGACTTTACTCTGTTTACTATTTTTTTTTATTTATTTATTTATTTATTATTATTTGGACATGATACATAGTTGTACAAAAGAAATACAGTGGACCCCCGCATAACGATTACCTCCGAATGCGACCAATTATGTAAGTGTATTTATGTAAGTGCGTTTGTACGTGTATGTTTGGGGGTCTGAAATGGACTAATCTACTTCACAATATTCCTTATGGGAACAAATTCGGTCAGTACTGGCACCTGAACATACTTCTGGAGTGAAAAAATATCGTTAACCGGGGGTCCACTGTACAGTGGTTGAGTGTTCATGCCAAAAGCCCCTTGTATGCAGAGCATTGTGGGCAGGCTTAAAATTAACTTAAGATTAACTAAGCAATGATATATTCCTTGGTAAAAATACAGTAAACAAATTACAACATGAAGTACAAATGAGTATTTCAAATAAGATGCTTTATAGTTGTACAAATTTGTAGCACATTTGATGAGTTACTGAGCATTAAAGAGAATGGAATATTCTATTAGGTAATGTAATTACAAAAAAACATAGTTTGATAGGGTCACAGGTTATACATTTATGAGATACAGTTAATCAGTATTTATTTAGTTGTGGGTGAGTAAGTGGTTTTTAAGAAGAGACTTGAATTGATAAACAGACAGTGTTTCTTTTATATTCACAGGTAATGAATTCCAGATTTTTGGTCCTTTTATGTGCATTGCATTTTTATATAGTGTGAGATGGATGCAAAGTTCTAAATGTTGGACAGGTAAATAACCATGCCACATATAAACTAAATAATGTAGATCTTAATACTACTGATTGCAAAAAGGATTTAGGAGTTCTGGTTAGCGGTAATCTAAAACCAAGACAACAGTGCATTAGTCTTCGCAATAAAGCTATCAGAATTCTTGGCTTCATATCTAGAAGTATAAATAATAAAAGTTTTCAGGTTGTTCTTCAACTCTATATATCCTTGGTTAGGCCTCATTTAGACTATGCTTCTCAGTTCTGGTCACCGCATTACAGAATGGGTATAAATGCTCTGGAAAACGTACAGAGGAGGATGACAAAGATGATCCCATGTATCAGAAATCTTCCCTATGAGGATAGATTGAGGGGCCCTGAATCTGCACTCTCGAAAGGCGTAGAATTAGGGGGGATATGATCGAGGTGTATAAATGGAAAACGAATAAATAAAGGGGATGTAAAAAGCATGCTGAAAATTTCCAGCCAAGACAGGACTCACAGCACTGGTTTCAAGTTGGAAAAATTCAGATTCAGGAAGGATATAGGAAAGCACTGGTTTGGTAATAGAGTTGTGGATGAGTGGAACAAACTCCCGAGTACAATTATTCAGGCTAAAATGTTGTGTAGTTTTAAAAATAGGTTAGATAAATACATGAGTGGGTGTGGGTGGGTGTGAGTTGGACCTGACTAGCTTGTGCTGCTGGGTCTGGTGCTGTGCTCCTTCCTTGAGTGGAGGTGACCAGACTGGGTGGGTCATTGGGCTAATCAGGGGGGCAACATGGACCTTCTCTGCATGGGTCAGTAGGCCTGTTGCAGTGTTCCTTCTTTCTTATGTTCTTATGGACATGAGGAACATCACAGAGTGATCTGTGCCTTGTGTTGTGGTCATGTGTTCTGTTGAGGTTGGTAAGGAGAAGTTTGAGGGGAGGGTTTATATCCAAATTAAGTGTTCTATGTATGTAGTAGGTACAATAATAAGTATGGATGTTTTGTACAGTGAGTAAGTTTAGAGTTTTGAATATTGGTTGAGTATGCTGCCTGTAGTGGGAATTTGTTATCATTCTGACTGCAATCTTTTGTTGAGTAATTAATGGTCTGAGATGGTTTATTGTTGTTGAGCCCCATGCACAAATTCCATAGGTGAGATAAGGGTAAATGAGTGAGTGATATAGGGCCAGGAGGACTAACTGTGGAACATAGCACCGTATCTTCGATAGTATGCCTACGGTCTTGGAGATTTTCTTGGAAATGTGTTGTATATGTGTTTGAGATTTGAGTCTATTATCAAGGTGGATTCCTAAGAATTTTCCCTCTGTGAGCTTTGTGATAGGTGATTTGTTTATCATTATGTTAAGAGGGATGTCTGTGGTTATGTTTCCAAACTGTATGAAGTAGGTTTTGTCAATATTGAGAGTAAGTTTGTTAATCATCATCCAGGTAGATCTTTTCTGTAATTCGGTATTTACAGTATTGGCTAGCATGACTGGGCTTGGGTGAGAGAAAACGTATGTAGTGTCATCTGCAAATAGTGTGGGTTTGAGTAGTTGTGAGGTATTTGGTAGGTTGTTTATGTATATGAGAAAGAGAAGAGGGCCAAGGACACTTCCCTGTGGGACACCAACTGTAATTGGCTGTGTAGAAGAGTTTGCTCCATTTGTGTTCACATATTGGCTTCTGTTGCTAAGGTGCGACTTTAGGTAGTTGAGGGAGTGCCCTCTTATACCATAGTGAGACAATTTTATGTGCAGCAAATCATGGTAAACTGTATCAAAAGCTTTACATAAATCAATGAAGATCCCCAGTGGGACTTACTTTTTCTCGAGTGCAGTGTATATTTGTTCTAGCATGTGTATAATATCATCATTCGTATTTTTATTAGGCCTGAACCCA